CCAGGGGCTGCGGCGCAAGGAGCGCCCCGGGATCGCCGTCCCCCTGCCCAGAAGCCCCGGGGTTGAGGGGTGTCCCGCTGGGCTCCCCGCGCCGTTACCTGCAGCCGCCGCTTCCTAGCCCAGCCTCGCCCCGCCCCGCCCCCTCCGCCGCGGCGGGAAAGGAAAGCGGGGCCGGGCTGGGCGCGAAGCGGTAGGAGCGCGGTGTCTAGGCCCCGGGCTCGGGCTGAGGGGCTTCCCCGAGAGGGCGCAACCTAGGGCAGGGGGGAGGGGACACCGCGCGTGTGTGTGTGAGCGAGCAAGCGTGAACATCAGCAGAGGTTGTGTGTGTGAGGTGTGAAGGGGGGGGGGAGGTTGTGCTTGGGGACATGGTGGCCTGGCTTTGCTCCATCAGTGCTGCTTGGACTGTTGACATGGCCCCTCGCAAGGGCATCCAGGGCGGCGAAGGCATCTGGCTGAGGAGGGTTGGGCAAGGGGGGCAGGGGTGTGGGCGTAGACAGGCTGCTTGGTGGTGCAGGGCAGTGGGGCTCAGCCCTCACCCCCACCACACACACACACGCACGCACACACACACACACACACACTGCTGCCAGTGCTTGGCTTTCCCTTTTTTGCTGCTCTTGCTGCCCGCAGGAGACCAGCAGAGCAGTGATTCCCAGCCAGGCAGCTAACTTCAGGGTCCTGTCAAGGGTGCCGTGATGTGGCTGCACTCACCCATGTGCAGAAACAAGTGACAAGAAACCAGTGACAAGGTGTCTAAACAGGAGCCTGGAGTGCTAGACCTGCCCTGGCCTAGCCAGGCCTTGGCAAGCTGCGGAGCTGCTCTTGTTTTTCCCTAGTCAACAAACAAGCTAAAAGTAAGAGCTGATGCTTGAAAGGGCTCAAGCCCTTGAGCGGGTCTAGGATTTCAGAAAGGGGCCCAGATGCTGTGGAGAGCTTTCACATCTAACAACACAGGTTTTCCTCCAGTAACAAGGCAATGAGAAGGTTTGCTAAGCTGCTCAGGTAACTTCATTGGAACATGCCTTAGTTTTCTATTATGTATAAACATAATCAAAAGATGCTGTTTTATTAGTCCTGTAGTCATTAGGAATTCAGTCTTGTCTCTTATTTCAGATTCATAAAATAATTAAGCCTTCCTGACCATTTTGACAGGGCACCCATGCTTTGCTGACAGTTATTTTCATGCCTAAGGTGATGTTCGCCCAAGTCTATGTGTTTAGCTTGAGTTAAAAACAGGCCGCAAAGCTGTGAAATAGGAGCTACATTTACAGGAGCAGGCAACAGGCAGCAAAATTGCTGAAGAAGGGATAGCTCAACTAGTGGAAAATGGAGACCATTAAAAAGGAGAGACGGTTATTAACACTTGTGGGATGAAGTGTTTACAAGGAATCAGGTAGATTAGGAGGAACCACGGTATCAACTGAGTCTCTTGCTGCTGCCTAAATAGAAATGCTGCTGCTGCTGCCAGGCAGTTGGTTTTAAACTTTGGGAGGAAGAGGAATCAAAGGAGGATGCAACTGTGTCCTCCATGGATCCTCCCGTGCTTGAGCTTATGTAGGGGTGTCTCAACTCTAAAAAGGCTGAGAGCCACTGTACCGGAGCAATTCTTATGTTGCAGGGAATACAGGAACCCTGCGTTGCTGTGGGCTATTTCTAACACTGGCTTCCTATTTTCAATATCTGCATTTTCCTTGTGAATTACATGTGTGCACCTAACAATGCTTATATGGTCTAGTACCCTTGAAAGGATCTCAAGGCAGCCAGGTGTAGAACAGTTATCTCTGTTAGACAGTGATGGTTAGATAGCCTGTCTACCAAGACCACTAGTGTGCTGTGACATAACTATATAGCTTGAGAAGAGTGGTATTGCTCTATTGTGAGCAGGATGAAAGGATAATCCATGATCCTTATTAGGAACTGCTTGCATAAGTTTGATGTGGAGGCAAATGGTGTGACAATCTAGTTTTGTGTCCCATTGTCTCATCTGTAACATGGAGATATGAGCTATTTACTGTACAGAAATACAGATCCCAAGAGGTAAAGAAGAAAACGCCATGCTGTTGCAGGGTTACTGCACTTAATTGATATTCACAGTTTACTGTTTCTCCCCAGTTTTCTCACCTAGATGCACAGGTTACTTGAAGTCTTTAGAATTTGCCCCCCTCCCCACTTTTTTTAAAGCCAGTCGGAGCAAGTCAGTTTTCTCATTGTGTTGTGCAAGTCAAGATATGTCCACAAGTTTGGGTTTCCTTCCCCATCTTTTAATGTAGCTGGGAGATCAGCTTCCCTTTTCATTTGAAGGATTTGAATGTTGTTCAATATCTGTGATATAAAAGGTGTATTATACTTAGCTTATAAACATTGACATGCATTGCATCCCTCTTCTATTTTTTTTTTTCTGGAATATTTTAGAAAAATCTTTACTATAGTTTAAAAATTAATTAGATGGGTAATAAGGCCTAAGGGCCCGCTTACCTTCTGTATGACTGTGTCTTTTCAGTATTATCTGCCTGTTCAGATCCCCACATCTTACAAAGCTGTATGCTTTCATATAGCTCACATAGCTCAATTGTGTATATGCAGTGAGTAACATTTATGCAGGTGCATATTATTATCAAAATTAATAGGATTGCTAATGTTGGTAAGCATTTGTAGGATTTGAGTCTTGTATTTTAAGATCCCAGTTGCAAAGACAATCAGACTCAAGGGTTGACTGTAAGTAGCCAAGTAAATTATTTTTATTCTAAATCAAAAGCTCAAGATAGCTGATGTTTATACACCTTTTAAAAGCAATAATATTTCACTTTACTCCAAATTTTCTGCATCCCAGAGATAGAAAAAGGGAAAAAGAATTTATTTGGCTTAAAAGATTCTAATGATCACTTCTGTATTCGACTTCTGCATTTATTTTTTTCCCAGGGTAGCGTAACCTCAATTCAGTGTCTTACATCAGTCAGATAATAAAAGTTGTTTCATTAAGTAAGGCAGTCTTAAATAGTGCTTTGGCTTACCTTTGTTACTGCTAGACACCTCTTCCATTTTCATCTCTTACGTGGTCCTTTAAACAGAAGAACTACTATAGGGATTCATTGAATGACAACTAGAAGCAGACAGTGGGAGTGTCTACATGGGCACTTTAGTGCTCATTAACCTATTTTAATGCACCTTAAAGCTTAATTAAAAGTGCAATTTAGTTAATGTACATTAAAATAGGCTAATACACATTAAGCATTACTAAAAAGGGAGACTAGTCAAAAACACCTAGTTAAAGAGCAGTTATCTTCTCACAGTTCAGAGAGGAGCTGTCAGTGACTGTACTAGCCCACTCCCACATCTTTGTTTCTGCTCCAGGCAATGCAGCAGGGACACAATGATTGGAAGAGGAAGGAAACAGGACTGGAGCATGATTTCTTCTTGACTTCTTCTTGAGCCATTTCACTTATTCATCAGGACCAGGGAGAGAAAACTGGATTCATAAACTTCCAAATCATTTGGTATTCATTAAATATCAATGTAACAGGGCCCCGACTGAGACCCTGTTACTAGAGTGACGTGGACAGCTGAAGACAATTACAACTCGGGGGGCGGGGAGGAGGTGGGCCCCGCTCACGGAGAACCAATGAGGCCCGGGCCCGAAGGATAAGTGGGAGAGAAGGCAAAGGAGAAATTGCCTTCGGGCACTACAATCTACGAAGGATCCCAAGGGTGGATCCTAAACATGAGAATCCCTACGAGGACGACGAAGGGGTACTGGGACCAGCTACCTCCTCTCTACATACCTGGAGTCCGTGCAGGTGACGGTGAGTCGGAAAGAAGCGGAGCTGCACCGTAGGAGAAGCCGTGGCTCTGGGCTAGGATGGGGTGAAGGTACTTGGGAGAAAAGGGGAGTGGGGAACGCCCGACCCGGCCCTGAGGAGGCAGGGATCTGGCACCCAGCACCTGAAGAGAAGGGGTTCGGGATAAGAGACCCCTAGCACGTGGCGCGCTGCACTCAGGCGAAAGACGCGTCAGGAATGTTAAAGGCGCCACTAACAAGCTACTGATGGGATAATTAGCCTCTGATGGGATAATTAGTGATAGTTACAGGGACTCTGCATGGTACTTACCTGTTGTACAAATGGACAAGGATTGGCCAGGAGGCCTAGGGGTTCCCTGAGATCGGTCTGTTGGACTGCTTCCTCCTCCAAAGGGGGTTCCTGTAAATAATAGAAAGAAAAGAGCTGAATAAAAGCACCTGCACTATACCCCGATCCAGCGTGGTACTTCACGCGGATACTCACTCAAATAACACCCCCTTCCTCCCTATTTCTATTAAGATCCAAGTTGTGGCAGGCGAGAATCAAGAGGCTTAGGGGATACTCTGCGTGGACATGCTGACAATCAACATAGTGGATTCTTTCCATCTTTGCCTGAGATTATCTGTAAAAATGTAGCTGTGCTCATAAAGCAGTTAAGTGAAGACACAAAACACTCAGGCTCTTCTTGGCCCTTGGGTTAGCCGAAGGAAAAATACAGGTTTCAAGTGAACCCTGTTCCCCAGTCCCACATGAATTATCTCTCACTTCAGTTTCTGTTCATCCCTCAGCCTCACCCCTGGGCTACAGGGATTCTTTAGTCCTCTTCTCCCAGATAGCTGCAGCGGGATCTCCTGGTCCTCTACCCAAGCTGGTGAACATACCTGCAGGGGTTGTACTGGTCATAGGGAGGGGCAGAACCACAGTTCTGCTTGGCTTTTCCTGCTCTTCTCCCCATTCTCATCCTGAGAGGGGAGTCAGGCTGTTGAGAGGAAAGAAGTTTCTGCCTGCTTCCTACAGCATCCCCAATTAACTGTTGTGC